TCCTATCAAAAGTACAGGAGAGACCTTAGGCCAATTTTCCCTAAAAAATACTAGTAAAGAGGTATTTGTGATTTTACAAATTATAGGAGGTAATTTGTACTTTAAGTAAATATCTTAAGGGGTGTATTTGTAATTTATCCTAAAATAAACTATAGTTTAAAAGAAATGGAAAAAAAAAAAAGGGGAGGTGTCTGATTTTGGGCCAGTTTGGTAAAACTTATAAGTTACTTATTTCAACTTTTGACTTAATTTAAGCAATAATATTATGTTTGGTACAACTTGAACTATCAAATTATAGCTTCAAAAAAGCTGTTTTCAGCTCAAATGCAGAAGCTGCTCGGGGGATGCTTACAAATTATAGCTTAAGCACGCAGCTGATTGGAGGGTCATGAAATGACTAAAATGCCCCTCCAAAACTTCAACAATTACGGTTATGCCACTATATAAGCCCTCTTTCGTTGCCCTAGCCTGCTCCTCTCCTTACACTCTTCTTCTCATTTCCTTGGCGACCGAAGATGATCCTCTACATCTCTCCAAGATCAGCCGATTAAAGTCGAAGATTTCTCCAAGATTTGTCCAAGATCTGCACCAAAAAGGTAAGAGTTCATGCCTTTTGTTTGTGATATATATATATACACACACATTGAGTTAGGGTTTACACAGACCAAAATCAGATCACACTCTCTATTCCTCTCTCTCTCTCTCTTTCTTCTTGCTTCGATTCTCCCCTCTGTTATGTGTTTTAATACTTGGGAAGGATTTATAATGGCGGTTGATTGGATAATACTAGATTTGTAGTGCTAAATCTCAACTTCTGCTCAATTACTTGGGAAGCATATATTGTTTATTTCCAATTTAATGGATTACTGAGACTGTGGGTTGGGATCAGGGCCATGTTGTTGAAGTTTGAAAAGGCAAGATGTGGCCTGGTAAAATTGTGTTTTTTTGTTTTCTATTTGATAGAAATAGCATGGTGACTGAAAGCCCCTTGTCTGTTTAAGCTTTTTCCATTTGTTACTTCATTGACTCTTTTCTTCTTAGATTTGCTCATCATCCAGCATTTATCTATCTATTGTTTAGTTTGGTTTTCTTTTCTAATTTATCTCATAACTAGATAGCCTCAGAAATTTTAGTAAAGTAGACAAGATAAAAAAAATTGTTATAAATAGAGGCAATTCTCTCTCTTTCTCTCTCTCTCCAGTGGAAACCCCTTTTTCTTTTGTTCTTTTTTCCCATCTGGTAAACCTTGTAGCCATGCAAAACCTCTTGATATCCATGACGTACATTCATGTTACATCATACTGCAATCCTCTTTGTATGTCGTCAAATTAAGAATTTTTTTATAACAATTGCAACCTTTATTTGCATTACTAGAGTTGGTCAGTTCAAGTTGCAGTAGCGGTAATCAGTAAATAACATAAATATGCTACGTAGTAATATAAGTGCATTAAAGGAAATGAAACAGTTTGAAGATTCTCATCATGGTAGTATTAGACAGAAACTATTAATATGTCAAATATCTTGTCTACTTTACTAAATTATCAATTCACACTTTTAAGCTGTGTAACTAGGAGCTGATTGGGTGCCAAATGATTATAATATTCTAATATTTTTGTCATATTCTAATCTGTTGGTGCCAAATGATTATGACCTCTTTGCTTGTTGAGTTGTTTAGGAGAGTGACACTGTAGGTATTGGCTCACTGCGTGTGCAAACCTGGAATCACTAGTAATTGGTTATGCAGTGGTTATTTGTTGTTGGGCTTTGTAATCACCACCAATCAAACTGTGAGAGTTGGTCATGCTCAAGGTCATTGCTTGAAAAGAAAATAGGAAAATAAGTTGAACGGTACATGTGATGTCTTGGTCTTGTGATCTTGTATGCTGTACCCTTTTTTTTTTTCCTCAAAACTCAAGTTTCCCTTAATTTTGTTGGCATAAACAAATGTTTACATATCTTTTCATGGAAAATTTAGGACCAAAGTGCACAATAGTGCTAGTCATGTATAACATCTTTAAGTTCCCAATCAATTTTAGAGGATTTGGATTTTTTAACATCTTTAGTCATGTATAACATCTTTGTAATCACCACCAATCAAACTTGCGACGTATCTAATAATCTTATTCTGGATTCTGAAATGAATGATGCTTCTGTCCATTGTGATGGGACTGGTGGTTCATTAAGTGAGAAGGTCGTTGTTCCATCTTCTGATGTTACCGCTGAAAACCTGAATCTTGATACCATTGCATTGGAGGATACTGGGGATGCTGATATTGGAAAGATCCCTGGGGAAACTCATGAATTGAGACCACTTCTGCAGATGCTTGCAGGATCACCTGCTTCCGAGTTTGACTTAAGTGGCAGCATTTTTAAAATTCATGATGAGCAAAGGGAAAATAGAGAACTTCTCAAGGATCTTGATTCTCCAATGTTAGCATCGACGATGCGCCAAGCGTTTAAAGATGGGTTACAAGAAGGAATTTTCAGTGCCAACAACATTGAAGTTTCATTTGAAAACTTCCCATATTATTTAAGGTGCAGACCTTTGACCTCAAAGATAGGCTATTGACAATTATTGTGTTTCTTGTAATCTTCTTTTTTTTTTTTTTTTTTTTTTTTTTTTTTTTTTAAATGGCAATGGTATCATTTTGGACGTGTAGAAAATATGTATGCTTGTTGATTATGTATAATTTATAAATGTTAATTGAGGTGCATAGCCTTCTGTTTACATTTTTGTTTGTTTCTATTCTCAAACTGTTTAACATGTTCATTTAAACTAATGCTTTTCAGTTCACATTGTGTCTTCATATTTTTGTAGTTGGTAATCAAAATGTAAGAATCACCACTTTCATGAGCAAACTTAAATATGACATTGTAATTAATGGAAACTATAAATTTGCTTTTCCATTTTATTATTGTTGTCATTATAGCTGTTAGTTACTTTGGTTTTGAAAGTCTAGGTGCCGTTTAGTAACACTTACGTTTTCTGTTTTTTGTTTATATTTTCAAAAATTTTAAAAACTCAAATAAAAACTTGTTTGGTAAAATTTTTGATTTATAAATCAGTGGTCTCAGTTTATAAATTTGGCCAAAAAATAAAAACACAAAAAATGCGTTTCCGTTTTGAGTTTTGAGATTTGCAGTAGTGAAAGGACTACTTCTCGAGCCCTTCCAATGTGGCATATCTGGGTAAGTTACAAACCTAGGAAGTTGAACCTTCAAAACAAGATCCCAAGCTTTCCTAGGCAATTTAACAGATATAACACCCACATCCCATCTACCCTCCTCATCCAAGAGAGTATCCACCTTCTCCGAGCTAATGGGGTGAGAATTAGGAAATAAGGAGACTAAACTGCACTCCCCACACCACCAATCATACCATATGGATGCGTTAGAACCATTACCAATACACCATTTGTTACCCTTGACGTTAATGTCACGGGTTTTAAGAACACCCCTCCAGGTGAAGAAAGCCTTTCTCTTACTGGAATAATTGAGCAGGGAGTCCCTATGAAGGTATTTATCTTGAAGAACTTTAGCCCATAAACAGGACTCCCCCGTTGAGAAGTTTCCAACCAAGTTTAGAGAGTAAAGCAATGTTATTATCCTTGGTTTTCCGAATGCCAACTAAATGAATCTTTTTGGAGTTGTCCACATCACCCCATAAAAAATTCTTGTGTTAGACTATCCATCCTCCTATTGATGTTATTGCAAAAA